TTTTCCACTAAGATCAGGAACAAGACAAGGATGTCCACTTTCACCACTCCTATTCAATATAGTATTAGAAGTTTTGGCCACAGCGATCAGGCAGGAAAAGGAAATAAAAGGCATCCAAATAGGAAAGGAGGAAACAAAATTGTCACTGTTTGCAGATGACATGATAGTGTACATGGAAAATCCTATAGACTCTACCCAAAAACTGCTCAAACTAATAAATGAGTTTGGCAAAACTCCAGGATACAAAGTCAATATCCAGAAATCAAAGGCATTTTTGTATACAAACAACGAATCAGCAGAAGCAGAAATCAAGGAAAAAATCCCACTTGATATAGCAAAAAGAAAAATAAAATATCTGGGAATAAACCTAACCAAAGAGGTAAAAGACCTGTATGCAGAAAACTACACAGCACTGAAGAACGAAATCAAGGAAGACACAAACAAATGGAAACATATACCTTGTTCATGGATTGGAAGAATTAACATCATCAAAATGTCCATACTACCCAAAGCAATATACAGATTCAATGCAATACCTATTAAAGTACCAATGGCGTATTTCACAGACATAGAACAAACACTTCAAAAATTTATATGGAATCATAAACGACCCCGAATAGCAGCTGCTCTTTTGAGAAAGAAGAACAAAGTAAGAGGGATCACAATACCTGATATCAAACTGTATTACAAGGCCACTGTAATCAAAACAGCCTGGTACTGGCATAAAAACAGGCACATAGACCAATGGAACAGAACAGAGAGCCCAGAAATCAACCCAACCCTCTACAGTCAATTAATATTCGACAAAGGGGGCAGTAACATAAAATGGAGTAAAGATAGCCTCTTCAGCAAATGGTGTTGGGAGAACTGGACAGCTATGTGCAAAAAAATGAAACTTGAGCACCAACTTACACCATACACCAAAATTAATTCAAGGTGGATAAAAGACTTAAATATAAGCCATGACACCATTAAAGTCCTAGAAGAGAACATTGGCAAGAAAATCTCAGATATTCCACGCAGCAACATTTTTACGGATATGTGCCCTAGAGCAAGGAATATAAAGGAAAGAATAAACAAATGGGATCTCATCAAAATAAAAAGCTTCTGCATGGCTAAAGAAAACAGTATTAAATTAAAAAGACAACCAACTGTATGGGAAAACATATTTGCCAATGATACCTCAGACGAAGGTTTAATCTCCAAAATATACAAAGAACTTACACGACTCCACTCTAAGAAGACACCCAACCCAATTAAAAAATGGGAAAAGGACTTGAACAAACACTTCTCCAAGGAGGACATACAGAACATTCAGAGACACATGAAGAGATGCTCAATATCATTAGCTATCAGACAGATGCAAATTAAAACCACAATGAGATACCACTTTACACCAGTCAGGATGGCTATCATAAACAAAGCAACACACAACAAATGTTGGAGAGGTTGTGGGGAAAAGGGGTCCTTAGTTCACTGTTGGTGGGATTGTAGACTGGTACAACCATTATGGAAAACAGTATGGAATTTTCTCAGAAAAATAAAAATTGACCTGCCTTTTGACCCAGCAATTCCACTGCTAGGATTATACCCCAAGAATCCTAAAACATCAATTTCAAAGAACCTATGCACCACAATGTTCATAGCAGCACAATTTACAATAGCCAAAAGTTGGAAGCAACCTAGGTGCCCATCAGTAAATGAATGGATCCAAAAATTGTGGTACATATACACCATGGAATTTTATGCAGCAGAGAGAAAGAAGGAGCTACTACCTTTTGCAACAACATGGATGGAACTGGAAAGCATTATGCTGAGTGAAATAGGCCAGGCATTGAAGGACAAATACCATATGATCTCACCTTTGACAGGAAGCTAAAGAATAAAACAAACAAGCAAACAGAATAAAAACAAAGACGCTGAAATAGAGAACAAGTGGGCAGCGACCAGAGGGGAGAGGGAAGGGAACTTAAGGGGAAAAAGGGGGAGGGATTTTGAGGAACAAGTATGAAAGACACAGAGATGAGGACTGGGGGTGGGGGGGAATGGGAGGGAGGGGGGAGACCGGGCGGGGGGGGGAAGGAAAAAAAAATGTACTTGAAAAGTAACTAAATAAAATTTAAAAAAAATACTTCCAAAAATAAATAAATAAAAATATAGATATAATTTTTACAAATTTACAAGAAAAAATAATAGTAATTATCTACCCTTTTGCTCTAAAGTGACTTTTTAAAAAATCAGGTGCCAAAAAACTGTACTTGAAAAATAACTAAATAAAATTTAAAAAAATCAGGTGCCTATACTTGAATATAAGATTTCTTGTATTAAAAAAATAACCCAACCTTTTGCAACCTTATGCCACTAGAGGCAGTAAAAGAAGTCAGTCCTTCTCACTACATAGTCAAATACTGCATATTTTAAAAATTTCTGCAGCTCACCAGTGTGCCACACACACTGGTTGAAAATCATTACATTAGAGAATTTGGAGAGAGGTGTGACCTGATCTGACTTCTGAAACAGTCATACTCTAGTTGCTCTGTGGGGAATGTTCTATGTAGGGGACAAGGGCAAGTGCAGGGAGAGCATTTAAGAAATTACTATGACAAAGGTGTGAACAGAGCAAAACATTATGGCTCAAGAAGAACTCAAAACTCCAGAGCCCATAACTCTAAGCGACCAAGAAATAGCCAACCTTTCAGATGCACAGTTCAAAACACTGGTGATCAGGATGCTCACTGACCTGGTTGATTTTAGTCGCAAATTGATTGAAAAAAATGAAGGCTACACTAAGTGAAATGAAGCACATTGCACAGGGAACTAATAGTGATGGAAACAAATCTGGGACTGAAATCAATGGAGTGGACCAGTAGGAAGAAAGAAATCACCTAACCAAAAAGAATGAAGAAACAAAAATTTTAAAAAAATGAGGACAAGCTTAGGAACCTCCAGGACATCTTTAAACATTCCAACATCCAAATTATAGGGGTACCAGAAGGGGGAAAGGAAGAGCAACTAGTGGAAAACTTATTTCAACAAATAATAAAGGAGAACTTCCCCTATCTGGCGAAAGAAATAGACTTCCAGGAAGTTCAGGAAGCTCAGAGAGTCTTAAAGAAGGTGGACCCAAGGAGGAACACACCAAGGCACATCATAATTACATTACCCAAGATTAAAATGAAAGAGAAAATCCTAGAAGCAGCAAGAGATAAGGGGACAGTCACCTACAAAGGAGTTCCCAACAGACTGTCAGCTGATTTCTCAAAAGAGACCTTACAGGCAAGAAGGGGCTGGAAAGAAGTATTCCAAGTCATGAAAGGCAAGGACCTACATCCAAGATTGCTCTATCCAGGAAAGCTTTCATTTAGAATAAAAGGTCAGATAAAGTGCTTCTCAGTTAAGGTCAAATTCAAGGAGTACATCATCATGAAGCCCTTATTATATGAAATGTTAAAGGGACTTATCTCAGAAAAAGAAGATAAAAAATATGAGCAGTGAAAGGACAGAAAACTCACTGTTATTAAAAACCACACTTAAAACAAAAGCAAACTAAGTGGACAACTAGATCAGGAGCGGAACCATAGAAATGGAGATCACAAGGAGGGTTAACAACAGGGGGGTAGGAGGAGGAGAAGGGGTGAGAAGGTACAGAGAATAAATAGCATAAATGGTAGGTAGAAAATAGACAGGAGGAGGGCAAGAATAATAGGGAAATGTAGAAGCAAAAGAACTTGTGACACATGGACATGAACTAAAGGGGGAATGGGGGAGAGGTGGTGTGCAGAGTGGAGGGGAATGAGGGGGGAAAATGGGACAAGTGTAATGGCATAATCGATAAAATATATTAAAAATAATAATAAAGATAAAAAAGGAGTATGATAAAGGAAGGAGCTGTTGGTGGCCTGGACAAGTGATGGTGAGAAATGGTCAGGTCCTGGGTAAATTTTGAAGATAAGGCCAACGGGATTCACTGAACTATTCACTGCATGAGAGAAATAGTTCAATCCCCATTGAAGGTTTGGGGCCTGATCAATGGGAAAGATGGGGCCATCATTTACTGAGATGGGAACACTGGGGGAGGAGTAAGTTGGGGGCAGGGGTGGAGGAGGTGGCAGCCAGAGAGGTTTGGGACAGGTGAGGCTTTCACGTCTATCAACTATGCAAGTGGATATGTCAGGTGGGAAATTGGGTACATGAGTCTGTAGCTCAGGTGGAGGTCTAGGCAGAAGATATAAACTTACAGCCATGAGACCAGATGAGATTACCTTGCAAATACATGTAATTAAGGAAAAGTTCTGAGGACTGAGCCCTAGGACACACAAAAGTTGTAGATCTGAAGATGTGGAGGCTCCAGCAAATATTCCTAGAAGGTGTGACAATTGAGGAGGAGAAGAAACAGAACAAGAGCAACAAACAAGGACATGATATTTAGAAACCAAGTGAACAGAGTGAGAGTAAGAGAGCCACCAACTGTAGCAAATCCTGCTGAGAGCTCATATCAGACTAGGACTGGGACCTAACCTCTTTGTCGGTCATTCTGGTGTTTATCTCAATTTTTCCTATGAAGTGCAACAATCTGTTTTTGTTTGTTTATTTTGAATAAGTCCAGATTCTTTGCTGATGTTATTGCGGATTGAATAAATTCTATATTTCATACATGTTCTTGCATATATTAAGAAAATGGGTTTAATCAGCATTTCCTGTCCCCTAATATCATTCCTATAGAGAGATTGCTGGTGCTCCTCATTCAGGCCTTTGAGAAACTTGAGTTGCAAGTGCTACTATTAAAAATGTGCCCACCAATATTACCCCTACCTCAAGGTGAGGATGGATGGGCAACTATCTTTTGTGTCATTGTGGCCATAGTCTCGTGTTAGATCACTTCATACCAGTCCTTGGAACAAAGAACTTCAAGGGACATATGATGAGATAATAGGCTTCTCTCACTTGTGAAAGCAACAGTTAAAGCAGCCTTCCTGGGCCCGAGGCTCTGCCGTGCTTACCTCCAAATATGCACCCCTTCCATGTGCGTCCAGTGAAGAGCAGCATAGGGTTACAGGTGAGCATCTTGGCTGATGGAGGAGCACCTACCACCACACTAGTCCCATAGTTCATGTGGCAGGATGCAAGGGCATCAACCTAAGTTTAAAATGAAGGAGGCTATTTGTTTCCTCTGTCTCATAATATCTCATGGGCTCATAAGTGCCTATATACTCTCACAGTTCTAGTAGTTAGTTCAAGTTTCAAGTCATGAGGCTAAATTAGGCCTACACACATTTTGTTTTCCGCTTGTGTCATAAAATTCTCAAGACAACTCTAGTCTTAACTTAGTCTTTCATACATTTGTGCTTTAAGACAGACAGCAGAAATTCTTGTGGTCAGTGTTCATGGCATTTCCAGTGTGTTATGGGTTAAAGCACAGGGGAAATTCCTGTGATATAGATCAATATCACCATTTCAGATAAGCCTTGGAAAGTTATTTGATCTAAACTAAATTGAATGAACTATACTGGTTCAGTTAGCTTATTTTTTAAGTTTACTGTGAAAATTAAATAAAATACTAAAACGTGACTTAAAGAAGTCTTTGGGGTTTCTTTTTAGATCAATCCCACATTTTCTGGTCATTTGCATGTCTGGTTTTTAATTCATAATTTTTGAATAGTTGCTAGATTGTCATAGTGGATGATGACATTTATCAGACATTGATGTTCATCAATATATTATCTGGAAATCAATAGGCCCTAATAATATATCCAATATTACATGTTGGCTCTGCAAATGTACAACCTAGAATGCTATTTGTTGGTATGGAGTAATTCTAGGTCTCACTGGAAAAGGACTATGACAACAATGGTAAATTAAAGACTAATTATTCATAAATTATGAATGGCAGTAAAGTGAATCAAATCTCCTACTCTGCCATGAGCAGGATTAGTTTTGTCTCACATTTCCAAGTCTCCTTTCCCTCCCCAGGCTGGGGCTTCCTTATCCTGAAACTCTGCACCTAGTTCTGCATGGAGGCTGGGGCTGCTGGCTGCCACAATGGAGCCATGTTTGAGAAGTTGAAGGCTCCTGCTCCAAGGGAATTCAGACAAAATGAAACTCAGGTGTAAGGAGTGAGAAGTGGGCTACATCACAGATTTGGGGGAAGAGACTGACAATTTGGAATAGTCTCTTTCCCCCTGGGTGTCCTTATTTCTCTTTGGGAAGTCACTTTGTGCTGTTTGGCTTGCTAAAGTATAACAGGTGGGATTGCTTTTGCCAATACATTCCCATACACACAGAAGGAACTGAACACACAAAAAATTGTTTAGATAGTTGATTACTTTGAACGCCAATCACATTAGACTGGTGTGATGGGACACTTTGGTCACTCAGACCTGCTCACTCAGACCTGTTCATAAGCTTTTGATTTTTTCAGCAAAAATTGCTTCATGATTACCAGTTTTCACCTAAGAGCTATTTCCATAGTTATTTGTTAATAAAGCTAGGGAAAATGAGTTTTACCTGGTGTGATTAAATAGCTTGTGTATTGTGTGGCTCCCCTAATCATGGTTCTTACCATCGTATCAAGACGCCCAATAACTTCAAAACTGAAGCTCACATTGTTGCCTGTCATTTCTGACAGCACCTCATTGATGGGCTTGGTAAAGTCCTTGGGGCTGATGCACTCTGTGGCCCCTACAGCCATGGCCTTCTCAAATTTGCCTTTGTTGAGGTCAATTCCAATGATCCTGGAAGCACCAGCTAACTTACAGCCCATGATGACTGAAAGGCCAACTCCTCCCAGGCCAAAAACAGCACATGTGGAACCCGGGGTGACCTGTGGAGAGAAAAGTTTTGCAAATGCTAGTGGCAGGATAAAACATTTTTAAATATATAAAGTATCTTCAATATTAGGAACACAAAATTCAGAGGATGTTAAGATTGTATCACTTATTCTGATGATAATGCCAAAAGAGGACTACAAATAGAATGTCTGAGAACAGAAAAGGAACAAACATAGTATTGCTAGGTAAATGAAAACTTTTTATAAAAGGGTCCATCATATAAAAGCCCTTTGTAAAGGCAGTATTTGCACCCTTCTAACCTTATCTAACCTCACAGCAGGATTAAACAAGCACTAAGATCTCTTATTTCTTCTCCACAAAGCTATGCTAAATCTGTTTGAGATTCTGGTCTGACTAGCATTTTCTTGATAAACATAACTCTGAGTTATTTTTTAATAAACTGTTTTTTCATCAAGATCCACTCTCCATGTTTTAATTAGATGATCCATATGTAGCTGCAGGAAGGAAATGTAGTGAAATTATTTTTTATATTTTTACCCTGTACTATGCTATGTTACAGGATGGTCTAGCCAAAAGTAATTTTTTTGCTAGAGGAATCCTAAGCATCAGGTAGCGCGAGACCTGAATACAGGAAAACCCACAGAATGAGTGCGGCACTCATTGCAGTCCTTTCTTCCTCCTTCTACCCTTTCCCCCTCTCCCTTCCTCCTTTCCCCCTCTCCTTTCCTTCCTTCCTTCCTTCTTTCCTCCTCTACCCCACCTTCCTCTCCCTCTTTCTTCCCTCTTCTTTTTTTTAGAACTCCTGTTTATCTGGTATTATCTACTCTTGCAGAAATTACCTAAAGAAGTAACTTGTCTGTGTATATGTATGCATGTATTTTGAAATGTTTGCACCTATAAGCAAAGATTTATAGAGAACTACAGGGATGTTTTACTCACTCTCCATGAGTTTTAATTTCAGCTGCAGCATCCTAATCCTTCAATTTCATTCCTGAATTTGGAGCTTCGAAATCAGTGCAGTCATTCTCTCAAGTATCATTCAGTCATTTATTCATCCACTCAACAAGCTTTATCGATGGATTCCTTGATGGTCAACATTTTACAATTTTATGCCAGAAACTAAACAAGACCCCTAGTTTTTTCCAGTTTATCTAGTAGCTTAACTGTCTAGATTTGAGATGGAATCTTTTGTTGATGGTTGAATTTCAGGCTCTAGTTTTAGGTACAGAAGTTTATGATTCTAGATGTGTTTGCTGGAATCTCATTCAGCCTTCCATATTAAATCTCTAATATGCCTTAGACTCTTGTAGCCCTGGAGTATGATATTTCTGATCATTAAAGAATTGTAGCACTAAACACTTCTCCCTAGGTCCTTGATTCTTGACTTCCTTGTTACCTGCCTCTGAATCTTTAAGGCCTCAGTGTCTGGTAAATTTAGATTGTTCCCTCTATCCACACCCCCCCCCCAAAAAAACCCAACAGCAACAACAAACCAATAACTTCTCTCCCTTTTCCAATTTTCCTGTTGTAAAGAATAGGAGCTGAAGATTACCATCTATAGTAAATTATCACATGAGTACTATGGAAGAAAACAATAGTTTAAAATAAAAGTGTTAAATATAGGTTATTTTAAAATATTTTTAAACTTAAAGTATAGAAAGTTTCTGTACTTTCTATACTTTAAAAAGCAAAAGTTTTTGCTGTTGTTTTTATTCCCTGTTTTGATTCCCTTAGTATTCTTTAATAATGGTCTGTGTCACCATTCCAGAGGTCTTCAGGACTGGTCCTCATGGGCTCCTGGGAGATAGCTTTGGGCTCTTCAGAACATCCTGCCTGATGCAAGAGTCTTTGTGTGCCTGCAACCTGTGCTGTGCCAGACAGTTTATGTGAACACTGTGGTTTATGGTGAATGGAAGCCTGGGGCTTTGAGCCATCAGCTTGACTTCTGGTGGTGCCAGGGTCTGAGTGTTGAGGTCAGTCATGGGAGTGCTGTATGCCTGCATCCCCCCAAAGAAACCCTGACACCAAGACTTGAGTGAACTTCCCTGGTTGACGAATGTGTGTTGTCACACATTGTTACTGGGAGAGTTAAGCTCTACACCTGGGACAATGCTGGGAGAAGATAACTACACACCCTCATTTTAAAGTTACATAAGTTTGACCTATTTCTAAATAGGCAAAGGCAAGAATGCATGTCCCTTTAATTGATTTGCCTTAAGATATAGCTTCTAAGAAAAAAAATACACCTGAAAGTAAAGAATGTATTGGTTAATAGCGTATTACTTAAGTAATAATGTGGTATTAATATATCAAATACTGTTAAAAACTTATAAGTACTAATGTAGAACTGTATCAATGTCTCTTCTTTCACCTCTATCTTGGTGGAAAATTTGTTAGAAAAATTTTCACAAAAATTCTTAAGTAGAACTTCAAGAGACTCTTGGGAAAAAATGTTCCATCTTCAAGATTTTCCAAAGAAATGTAGAAGCAGGAGGGAACTAAAATATTCCACTGACATATGCATGCATGTCAATGTTTTACATTCACAGATCTCAGACCTGTCCTGAATCCATGTCTGGGAAAAACTACCTCCCTGGAGTTTATCATCTGCCACGTCCTCTTCCAACCATGTTGTCTGACAAGGTCTGGGCATGGAGGACTCGAGTTCAAGGAATTCGTCTGTCCGGAAGAGAACATGGCATCCAAAATAGGTTAACAATTGGTTGTTTTATTTTAATTATTTTACTCTTGCTACTGAATATAGGCATTGTACTGTACTTACTTATTCCTGTGAAAATCACCCAAGAGGAAGGGACAGTTCAGGGGAAAACATTAGTATTCCCCATGGAACTGCCTGAAAGGATGGAAAAATCCCCACAGATTCCCCTCTTTCTTAGTACGACAGCCAGGGTAATATAATTGTTAACCATAAGGGAAAACATGTCAAGTTGTGTAAATTGCCCTGGTTTGAGCAACTTAAAGAGATCAAGACCGCCATAGTGTACCAGAAATAAGAAAAACAAGTTAGATCTCTTAAATCAATAGTTAAGGCCAGTTAATAAAGAACTAGGTTATTGTTGCAAGCACAGGTTGTGCTGCCAACAGTTGAGGGAATTAGAAAGACTTTACCACGACTGTTCCTTACTCTCAGATACAAAGGGTCTTCCAAGAAGACAAGTAAAAACTATACAGATCCCTACCCACAGCACAGGGATATGGTCGGGATGGTTGAGATGCATTTGCTAGGCAGAGGCAATTGTGGCGGGATTTCCTGTCTATCTCTCCTTACATGTTTGTTTGGGTGATCAAAAGGTGGTGGGATTGTTAGACACCTGTTTTCAGGTTCATTAATTTGCATAATTCCAATGGAGTTGTACAAAATAATTTCTTGACTAGAGAACAAAGTCCCTGTATGTCTAAAAGTTGTTAGAGTAACAGCCCCCCCTTTACCTTGAATAGGAATATATATCAATTAGACAGCCAAAGAAATAAAAGAAGCTTGTTAGCTATTAAGCAAACAGTTACTAGGGGGTCAGAATTTATAGTACACAGAGAAACATTTTAGACAGAAAAGGCTAGATAGCTAAGTTAGACATCACAAAGGCCTTATAATAAATTTCCTATTACCTCTATTCAATCTAGCATATCCTTTTGCCCCATGATAAATTCTGAGAACTTTAATATACAATAAGACATTCAAATTCTGTACATGCAGCTACTTCTAATTGTCTGATTTATGGCTCTCCTGGTCAAAATAATCTTTAATATAACTGAATCTATGGGAACTTTTGTACCTTTCCTGCTACCTTTGTGTTGATTTTTTCTGCTTAGCTGATCATGCTATGCTGCAAATGTTAATCATTACCAAAAATGAAAATATAAAAACCTGCTTGTACTTGCAATAAACGGAACAGAGCTTCACTGTCCTTTGAGGCGTGTTGTCGTCTGTTACCCATTGCTGACGCCTTACCCACCTTTCAGGAAACCCCGGACCCTGCTGTGGCTGGACTGTGGCAATCATCTATTAAGTAAAACTAAAGATGTAATGAGACTTTGATACTTGGGATACACCCTATTCACGAACAACATTCTCTTGAATGATGGGAAGAAGTTTCTGCTTAGATAGAATAGACAGAAACTTTTCTGAATAAACAGGTGACTGTAAACTGAGAGTGATGGTAAGGAACCAACCAGAGGAGGGCTCACTAGAAGAGTGTTCAGACAATCAAATAGCATGTGTAGGTGCCTTCATGCAGAAGCAGCTCAGCAGGTTTGCAGATGTTGAAACAAGTAAATGTGGTGTGTGATGAGATTGTTCCAAGTATGAAAACTACTAAAGGATTTTTGGGCAAAACTAATGTGGTCCAGTTTATGTTTTATGAAATTACATTGACTTATAAATGGAAAATCATTGGAGATGGTCAAGAAGAGTAATGAGGACAGGAGAAGGGAGGCCAAGGCATTTATCTAGTCAAGACAGAATGATGATAATACATTGAAGAAAATGGAGAGATTTAAAATATACCTTGTATGTAAAGTTAATAGGACTTGCTCTTGGATTTCATCTAAGGTGGTGGAGAGGACAGACAAATAATGAAGAAAACTAGAATGGGCAATATATGTTTGAGGGTCAGGGTATAAGAAAGTTAAGAATTCAGTTTTATACCTATTCAGTTTGAAATACTTGTAAGACATCCACATGGAGGTGTCAGATAGGGATTTGGATAAAAGAATTTGGAGAAAGTTTGCATTATCTGGAGTCAATTAACATACATAGCTTTTTCTAAAGACTTTGGAGTTGATGAGAACACCACAGTAAGGAAGTTGCCTGGATTGCTTGAGGGAATGGCTGTCCTATCATAAATTACACATTATTCTACTTTCTTCTTGGACTTATTGAGTAACATAAATTGAGTCCAAATATGCATTCTTAAAAACTCATTTGTATGCAAAAAAAAGGTAATAAACTGGAATTTTATTTTGCTGAGTACTTCATTTATATGTTCTATTATATACCAGCTACTATGAATGGAATTGTATTCCTTACAAATTCATATGCTGAAATCCTAACCCTAGTACCTCAGAATGTGATCTTATTTGAACACAGGGTCTTTGCAAAATTAACCAAGTTAAAATAAGCTCATTAGGGTGGGCCATAATGCAATATGACTTCTGTCCTTCTAAAAAGGGGAAATTTAGGCACAAAGACTGGAGAGCTGGAAAATGATGTGGAGAGCTGTCTGGAACACATCCTTCACTCACAGCCCTCAAAAACCCCAGTCCTGCCCGTGCCTTGATTCTAGTCTCCAGAATGTGAGACAATGCATTTCCATTTAAGCTACTTAGTCTGCGGTACTTCACTATGACAGCCCTAGCAAACTAACAAACCAGCATTGATACTTATTTTGTGTGAGAAAAAAGATGAGTTTCAGAATCTAAATTTTAAACTTTAGAAATAAATCTGAAGGAAATGTAGAGGAAACAAAATTAAATACAGAAATTTTATTTTCACTTATTTAGAAGTAAAATGTCTAATATGAATTTTTTATTTTATCTTCAGTTGGTTTGACATTGTGTAGAAACAGCCTGAATATTAAATGTTTTCACAAATCTTTAGGATTTCCAAAAAATCAGTTAAAAAAAAGGAAGAAACTAGTCCATGCACCTTATTACCTTGCCAGTTTTAATAGCAGCTCCATATCCTGTGGAGAACCCACATCCAATTAAACAGACTTTCTCGAGAGGAGCCGCGTCATCAATCTTGGCAACAGCAAATTCATCCACCACCGTGTACTCAGTAAATGTACTGGTACCAGCGAAGTTGTACACTGTTTTGCCCTTGCATGTAAATCTGCTAGTGCCATCATCCAGTACTCCACGACCAGTAAGGCTATTTGATACATCAAATACACATGTCATTAATTCAATTCAAAAATTAGCACAGGAACGATTTAAATGGCATTAAAATAAAAATCACCAAAACCTACTCAATCTTAATGCAAAGGTTTCCATCTGGGTTGAGGCAAGCATTGCATTCTCTACACTGAGGCAGAAAGAGGGGGATGACTTTGTCACCTAGAGGGAAACCATCATGATATAAGATGTTGGTCTTTAACATTAAAATATGAAATAAACAAATCTGAATTAGTCCATGCAATATGCAAATATTTTAAAGTTTATAAGCATCATAAGGTTTGCTTGCTAAAGGCTGACACTGCCAAATTAAACTTCACTCTGTATCATACATTCATTCTCCTTGTATCCTTTTATTTTCTTAAGTTGTGTTAAGGTTATGTCTAAAAATCCCTAGTTGTGCTGTTTCCTTTGATGGGATAAACAGACCCTACTTATCTCAGACTTCCGAATTGACATGTGCACACCTGGTTTCACTGTAGTCACTCCATCTCCAATGCTCTCCACAACCCCAGCTCCTTCATGTCCCATGATCACAGGAAAATTAGACACCATTACTCCTTTAATCACATGGTCATCTGTGCGACAGATTCCTGTGGCCAAAATCTGTGCTCAGAAAGAAGAACATTGCATTAACTAGCACACTGGTCACTTCACATTTGGGAGGATATTTAACTTGTTCTTGAAAAAGTTATAATTGTGTATTCATTGTGATTGCCTAATATATAATAGTGTTGACTCAAGACTCTGAGCCTAATACCAACCACCATTCATGATCTCTCTCATCAAGGGATTCACAATGTTGCTGCCTCTGACCCTACTTTGAATCTCAGGGCCTGTCTATAATAAATCAGTGCTCTTCTGAGTGGTGCAGATGTTACTATGTGGCCAGTATGTTAGTAGATTTTTTATAGCCAGGCCCTCCTAAAACTCTCTTAATGGAAGGTAGAGAGAATAGCGTGCACAAACATAAGTGCAGAGCAAAATCTTACTGTTACTACAGCGCACAGGTAACAGGACATGGACAAAAAAGGACTGGCAGCAACACCTATTCAACAAGCTGGTAACCAAAGCAGTAGTGAGGCCATGTCCAAAGGATTTGGAGAAGCGCTCCAGGAAGCTATCGTTTCTCCAGGCAGAAAGGAGTTTCTTGTTCTTGGGGAATAGTGATCCCAATACTATCTGACTTCCAATCATTAGTCACAATTACTAACCATTTAAAAAAATCAGAATCATGTCAATACAAATTCAACAAATAAAAGTTTTAATAGAGCTGATTAGTACCATTGTTGTTCATGGATAATTGCCAATTTAAACAATAAACAAGAACCAGTAAGAGAATCAATATACAAAATTTGAGAAACCTTCTTATTTAAGAATCCAGCCTCACAACAATGATATGCTCAGTATAGGTGTGCTAACACATTAGGCTTATGTAATCTAAGGCTCATTACCTTAATACGAACTTCTTTAGCTTTTGGTGGGGCAACTTCTATTTCCTCAATAGAAAAGGGTGTATTTGGCTCCCATAACACAGCTGCCTTGCATTTAATAACCTAAGAAATTGGTGAGAGATATAATTATGTCTTCACAAATACAGATTCCACAAATAGTAAAAATATGGACACTTTTATATAACATTCTAATTTGACCAGGATGATTTTCGCTGAAGACTAGAATTATAATCCCTAGAGATCATCTTATGTGCAACCATGTTTGATATATGAGAAATGTGGCCCAAATGACTGATCCACGGCCATGTGACACCTGAGGAGCAGGGCTGGACTAGACCTGAGCCACAGTCCTTTGCTTTTTTTGCTTGTGGTCACATAATATTTCACTAAATTAGGTTCTTGTACTATGATTTCAAATGAACATAACCGTCATCTTTGTATCACTTATCCACAAAAGCATATTTATAAAACCGAAGATGCTGCTGATTTTTCTGCAAGAATTTAAGCCAATATTTAAGTGCTGTATAATCATGTAGCAAAGGGGAGGGAATTAAAAATTAGCATGGTAGAGATGAATGGAACCACAAATGTCATGAAGTGGAATAGACTGGAAGTTTCTAGATGACTCAGTCATGAACTTTACATCTCTGTACCCCTGTGTTGCACCTAGCCCAGTATTTGTATCTCACTGGGTCTTAAATGCTTAAAGCAAAAAATAACAAAAGTAAACATTTTTGAGACATACCATGCTTAATCAAATTTATAAGGAAAGCACAAAGGCGCCCATGCTCTCCTACTACTCCTGCCCTCCTGTACACCACACACACCTAGAGATTCATGCAAAGGATATAAAGAGGAAGATGCAACAAATTAATAAATATATAAGGCAGTATTTTTCCTCAGTTATAAAAAGGTTTTTTGTTAATAGAAATAATTAAATATAATTCTCTTTTAAAAAATTTTATTTAGTTATTTTTCAAGTACAGTTTTTTGTCTATTTGAAATATAATTCTAAGTCCATAATAACTTTTTTGTTTAATGAGAACACGCAGTGCTGTAAAAGGGGTGGCAAATGGACAATTCATTAATATCTACACCTTTTTCTTTGTTGTAGATGATCACATTTTATTTTTTGGTAACTTTATTGAGATATCTTTGACATACAAAAACCTTTGATATATATAAGGACTATATCTTGATGTTATATGTATCACCATAATCAAGCTAAATAACTTATCATCTCTACATAGTTACTAGGGCATGTGTATGTGTGTTGTATTGTGTGTGTGTGTGTTGAAAAGATGTAACATCCATCCTTTTCAGAAAATTTCAACTATTCAATGAAATATTGTTAAGTATCATCACCGTGTTGTACACTGCAACACCAGCACTCATTCATCTTGCATAACCAAAGCTTTGTACCTTACTTAAGAGTATCTACAAGAAGTAGACTGATGGATGCCAGAGGGGAATGAGGTTTGGGGGTACTAGATGAAAGGGGTAAAGGGATTAAGAAGTATGTATTTGTAGCTACAAAATAGTCTTGAGTACAACATAAGGAACATAGTCAGTAATGTTACAGTGACTGTGTGGAGGGCCAGGCGGAGACTGGAAGGTGTTGAGTGGAGGTAAGCTTGGTGAGCATGTAGTTGGCCACTGTGCTGTGCCCATGAAACCAGCCTTGGATAATGTTCAGGTTGGACCGTAACCGCAAAAAAAATGAGGATTTCTGCTATATCAAGTCAAATCGAAGACGATGACAATGGTCATGTCATTTCCTGACAGAGTACTTCACTCTTTAATTGCTCTATAAAGTGCAGATTTTGGAGTTTTTCCAATATCAGTGTCACTCATAAATTAAAGAACTATTTAAAGTTTAAACAGAGGACTATTTTGACCATTCACCCTACAATTTTATTTTTAAAATCTATCTTAAAAATGCTAACCTCAGAAAAGTCTTAAAATATATTAGAGGATACTATAGCACTCCTTATAAAAGGAAATATATAACCAGTATGTATAAACAAACATGTAAGAAATAATAGAAAAATGATGAAATAAATTGTGATAAATCTAGAAGTCAGAGTTATAAATTTAAAGCATGTTTATAAATTTAAGTAGGAAAAATAGGGTAAAAATATTTATAGTATGAGTACGACTACATAAAATATAGGTGAAAATATGTAAGGAGGGAAGTACAAACAAAAGTGATGGTAGTATTTAGGATGTAAGGAATGGTTAATTTTCTTCCCTCATATTTGCCAATCATTTCAATTTGCTATGATGATTATTATTATGGGCTGGATTGTGTTACCCAATGTTCATATGCAGAAGTCCTGACCCCCAGGACCTCAGAATATCTCTGTACTTGGAAACAGTCTTTTAAGAGATAATTAAATTAAAATGAGGTTATTAAAGTGAACCTTAATCCGATATGACCCATGTCTGTATAACGACAAAGAGGTGTGTAGAGAGAAGACCATGTGAGAACAGAAGATGGTCATTTACGAGACAAGGAGAGAGGCCTCAGAAGAAACCAACCTTGCTAACACCTTGATCTCAGACGTTAGCTTGCAGAACTGTGAGACAATAAACTTCTGCAGTTTAAACCACCCAGTTTGTGGTATATCATTAAGGCAGCCCTGGCAACATTTACTATAAAAAGGGGAAAAAGTAATCCCCAATGTAAAGGGATCCCCTGCTCTCATGAGCTACAATAAAACACCAAAGCAACGTGGAATATATATAACCCTTATGCAAACCACACTATTGCATAACTATCTCCATATCAAAATTATTCAAGCTTTATGTTATACCTTAAACTATACACTGTATTATTTATTACATTTCTAATTTATTACAACTAGAAAGTGTTTCCTTGAGCCTACTGAGTTCTCCAGCACTGGAACTATTCTAACAATGGTTAGATATCTACTTTGTAGAACTTGAGCATCTGTTGGTTGGATGGACTTACAAATTTTTAAGATACCTTTCAACCATAAAATTCATTAACTTCTGTGGGTTGAGTTGCTAGCTTCTAGAGTGCAACATCAATTTCCCAATTAACCTAATTTTGTTGGGTTCCTGATTCAAGCTAAAATGTTCTTATTGTGTTTCTACACAATTACAGGAACAAAGATTTCTAATTCTAACATCATGTTCTCACTCATCACATTACCCAGATTTCAAAGGCATCTTCATTATTTTACAAACCTTAAGGTAGGCTAAAGATGAAGTTGTTTAAATTAAAACAAACAAACAAATAAAACAAACAAAAGCACCTGACACTATAAAAAATTGTCTACATTTAAAGCAAGGAGCTGGCAAATGAAGAGAAAATGCCAAAGCTGTTTCTAAAGTCATTGTCAACTCTGTTTCTTAAATAAGAAGTGAACTTTACTACAATATATTTTTGTTTTTAATAATTTTAACTTATTTTTTGGCACAAACAATATCTTTACCAAGCACAATCTTTGTTGTCTACTTTGAATTCCAGAATTAGCATTTTTCCACAATTAACAGCAGGAATAGCTTTTCCCAACAGCTAGGAACGAACCCAGGTTTCCCAATGAACAAGAGGTGAATATAACACATGTAAATGAAACTATTGAAAGTCTCTCTATGGAAACATTTTGCTTCCCAGAACAAATAACCTAACTATCCTGCAATCGAGTTACTACTAATGTCAGTATAAGCCACATTTCTCCATTTCCCATCAATGTCTTACTGAAAAACTTTCCATATACTATTTTCATTGGCATGCTGATACGTTCTCTCTAGTGTCTCCTCCACAGGCACTTAATTCCTCAAGAAATATCCCCAAGTACTCAATTACTTTTATGTATTCAAAGTTCTGTATTCAAAGTTTATGTATTCAACCCCACAATATTAGAGCAAGATCACGAGGATACAGAAATGGTCTTCTTACTTTTCCAGCAGTGCCCATCCTGTCTTACTCCTCGTTCTGTAGTTCAGGAAACAGACGTTTTTTTCTCATTGATGTTCAGCTCACTCTGCTATAAATAACATTATTTTGTACTCTCAGATAAATAGTCCAGCCCAAAAGTCTGCCTTCAACAATATGACTCACAGTCTCTAGTACTTTACAGTGTTACATAAGCACCGCCCACCCTCTGCAGAGCAAGTCATGAAAAGAAATGTAGAAATTTATGATGAAACCAATGGCAGAGATCTAACCAGGACAGAATAGTCAAACCTATTGAAAAGAACTGAAAGCATTTTTATCTTTCTTATATTTGGGGGTATAGAAACAAGTCAGGTTAGTTGAGTTCAACACAATACCTGAAAAATGTTTTGTGTGCTTCTTTAACTGCTCTGCTCAGCACAGCTGGTTATAGGGATGTGCTTGTATATCTGTATTTGTGCTCTACTTCATTCTGCAAAAACTCGATATAGTTTGTGAAAAACATAATCAAACATAAATGGCAATAGGGCCAAGGATGTGTAATCTAATTAGAATAGAAGGTACAGGTTGGGAAAGGAGAACTGGGGGTACATAAAACATATGATGTGGACAACTGTAATTTCTAGCTGTTTGGGGGGTAGAAAGGGAAGCAAAACTTGTTGCCCCTGCACATGGACAGAGTATGATGTGGATGCAAACCCCCATTATATACAGAGTTGTTTCATTTGGTTGTATAGTGTGTGCACGGAGGGTGCATAAAGCAGGCAGGAAGAAATCTGAAATGCAGCTTGCTTACTAGCTCTCAGAGGCCAAAGAGCTTTACTTGGGCAAGTGCTGCAAAGCACTTCTGAAGCAGCTGACATGAATTTCCTGAATTTACTGCCAGGATCGATGTGGAGTGTCCAAGACGGATCTTATTAATTACAGTATGTGAGACACACTGTCACAGTCACCTCCAGGTAAATTCATTCTACACAAAGACATTTGTACGCTGTGGACTGGAAGTGTGGGGCAGGTTTTCCACCACGACAGACAATGGTATTTAGACTATGGAATGTTCTTCAGGTAACAGCTATGAATAAAACTTTATTTTGAAAAACTGTTATCAGTTGTACCACAAAGATCTCTCTCAACGTAGTATATATAGTAAGTGTAGTAGGTTCAACTTAACATATATTTCTGCCTAATTGAGAGCTGGCAATTACAATTAGTTATTTTAACTTGTAGCCAAATTACAAGCACTAGGTGAAAGTACTACCCATCTGTGAGGCTTTAGTGTGAGCCACTGTTTTAGCTGCAAACACTGATGAAATCAGGCACATTTTATTCTGTGTCCCAATCTTTAAAACAAAGAAACCAGTTTGTCTCAGCGATGAAAAGTTGTTTACTTATGGACAAGAGCAAAAGAGTACCAACATAGGCAGTGCCAGAACAAACACAAAAAATACTGGTTTGGTGAACTCACTCTTAAGGTCTTGGCACAACCTTTTAGTGCATTAATATGAAAAAAGTTTTACAAAAAACAATGTTAGTGAGTGAGTATCTCTATAATCTTTATGACCCCAATCCCTTGTGTTGTGACCCTCCAAGGTCAGTCCGGTGCATGGTATTCGTGCAAATGGAAAATATGCACGGAGCCACTGGGTTGTCTGGCTTGCATGTATTCACAGGTGGGTGAGGCACAGACGCTGCAAGCTCTGTGTCTATCTGCAGATCTCAAGTTTTGGCCCTTGCTCCTCAGAGAGGCACCCATCTTGGCACCTGCCCCCTTACATGTCTTTCATCATCATTGCTCCCAGCATGGAATTCCTACCTGTTTAAATACTAGAGGGGAACAAAGCCAGCAAGATGCCAGAAATTATATAACATAGCATAATTCTGTGCGTATCAGCCCACTTCATGTTATGGGAACAGTTTATCAGACTCAGTTTCAAGGCTATGAGAACACTACTTAACAGGCCCTTCCAAGGCTATGGGAACACTGCTTCCCTTAGTTACCCAGACACCTGGGTGAGGAAGCCAGACTGCCTCCACTTACCCTACATCCCTTCTCAGGGGGAATTGCTTGGATGATATAAATGTCAACAGCTGCAACCTATTTTTTTAAAGTTGAGCTAAAAAAATTCAGGGTTGTGTTGGATAATATAGCATGTCAGTCCTAATTTTAGGTTTGCAGAAATTACCATCTGACTCCTTCTTGTAAACCTTTTCACAGCATTTCCACAAAATTCTGGGGCCAAATCTCCCAGGGTACTGAATCTCCGAAAGCTGTGAGCCTGATGCCACTCCAAAAGTCTCCAAGAGTCTCCAAAGAAACGTGCAAATCTCAAAGTACCCATGGAACTCTAATTTTCTCTGGACAGAACACACCAGGAAGGACTTTGAGAAGTATGCTGCAGGAGTAAGAACTATGGTGTCAGATACACCTGGTTCAGGACCTGGAACATGCATGCCCTCAGCTGCCACATTCGTAAAATGGGAATAAAGATCAGTATATGTTGTGTGTGTGTCCTGGGGATCAAGGTGAAGCACTTCCTATACTGCCTGGTTCAGTAGCAAATAAGATTATGATTGATTTGGTTCCCACTGCTAACCAAAGATCTAGATTTTTAAAAATATTTAAAACATAGCTAGTGGGGACAAAATGACCTAGAGTCCAGGCTCAGTAGAACTGTCTTAGAGAAATCAATGGTGTGGTCCCAGAGCCTCCAAGATTTCCTAAGAACTTGGCGCTGAGAATCTTCTGCACCTGCAGGTGCTACCAGAAATTCAGGTGGAATCAAAGGGGCACAATATGATCCAAACGTGTGTTTGATCCAGGGAGATCCAGGATGCAGGAAAGTCAGTGCTAAACCCAGGAGAGTCTGGGCAAATGGGGACTATCATCCTATGCACACTCTGCTTCACCTCAAGTCCATGAGCCTGTGTGGTCCACAGGGTCATGTCAGCTTCAAGTGCTGGCCCTCCCCATTCACAGCCCTGATCCTTCACCCTCAGTAACAAACAGCCTTCTGTCATGGACACCAACTAGGACTCTATTCACCCTGGCCTCAGGATGACAGCAGGGAAGAGAGATGGTCACTAGAGTCAGAAGAACTAGGTGAAACATCAGTTCCAGCAGTGACCAGGAAGAACTAATAGCAACATACTAAGAGCTCAAAACTTCACAACTTGAAGGCTTGTCATGAGCCTAAGTGAGGTCATGTGTGCCAACCTGCTTATTACACTGTCACACAGTCAGAAAACAAAAATACAATAAGTCATATCTCCAAGACTGAGTAAGAAAAGGTCCTTTGTGTCACAGGAAAATGAATTTAGTTTATTGCTGAATCATTCTTAGTAGCAGAAAGTGTTATGCAACTGTAATGCTAAAGAGCATTCAACTGCTAGTCGTCCAGGATCACCACGAACATTAACAACTGTTGATCTGCCTCAGCCAACGCCAAACAAACAGGGTGAGGTTGTATTCTGGCCTTTCTTCCTAACATTTTCTCTCTCCAACCCTGCAGCTCAGCTGGTTGCAAGCTGAAACCCATCCTTTGATCCTTGTGCTCTGCCAAGCCCTGTGAGGGTGGGGCCTTTTTTTTACTGGAAAGAAGGGTCAGGGTGGGGTTTCCACAGCTCTGCCCTGACAGATTTTTCTAATCCTTCAGGTCCCCTGCACCAGCTGTCGGAACTGCTGCATGTGAGATTGTGCTGGGCAGTTTCAGAAAATTTTCTTGTGCACACACACCTGCCCATGAAGAGAATCCAAAGCAGATTTTTCCTAAATCAGAGAGCTTCGTCTCTGCTTTTGTGAACTCTCCATTGTGCTCAGCCCACCACCTGAGTGTGCTGGCTGATGAGAGTTTCCATTCAAGATCAGAATTGTGGATGGGAGAAATAGACAAAAAAAGTACTTGAAAAATAACTAAATAAAATTTTAAAAAAGATCAGAATTGTGGAAAAATATGAATCCCAGTCGTTTTGTTCCCTCATGACTTTCCTGAGGATGCATGGAAAGTAAGTCAAGGTGGCAGGGCTGGACATTGGTTCTTGGTTACAAAGAGGAGCCTTAGGGCTGTTCCTCACAGAGTAGGTCAGGCAACAAACTATCACAACTGGGAGTGTGGCTAAGGACTGGAAGGCAGAGGCCTTGGGAAGAAGGCAGACATGGCTCTGGAAGGCACTGCATGTCTCACACAAGTTGTAATCTGTTCTTTCTTGGCACCTATTTTCAGAGCTCCCCTCAGGGCTTGTCTCAGTAGAACATAGAGGAGACTCCAGAAGGTCAGCTCAAAGTGGCTGCAGACCATGTCTCCACTGCAGAGGTCCCTGCGGAGTCAGAGGGCTCTTCCAGAAGTCCCTGGGGCAGCATCAGTGTGGTGGGTCAGAGCAGGCTTACAGGCAGGCTGCTCAGCCCCCATCCCATCCCAGCTCCTTGGTCTCAGTAGAAGGAAGAATTTTCCAACATTAAATGGATTAACTTACAAAGCTTTTGAGCTGCTTATTGTTAAAAGGGCAGAACCACCTGCTAGTAACAGTAGAAAGCAAACTCCTGCATTGTTGGGGAAGCTAGACTAGCCTTAGTATCAGCTAAGACAGGAACATAAGAACTGATCATTGGAAATGCAAGGACCTGCAAAGACAGCACATAGCTGGGCTCCAGCCCCTGGAGGTCACTGTGAATCCTTCCTTCCTTCACTCTGACGCGCTGCTGTTTCTGCTGCTAGAAATAAGAAGCCACACTTGGATCAACATGTCTCTCAGGTAGACTGCAGGGACCTTGGGGTCGAAGTCTCTAAAACAGTCACATGACATTAACCTTGAAATGTAGCCTTTTTTGCAAGGATGGGTGAACAAAGTGAAAGAAAGGAAGATGAGGTACAAAGAATCTTAAATTGTATAAAACCCACAACACTCTTTAACTTCTCCACCATTTCCTCCATTTCACTGAACCAGTGAGAGCTTTCCTGCTGTCCTGGCCTTCCAGGCACAGTACAAATGCTGCTCTCATAGTGAGTAGCTGTTTTTGTGTTCGTGCCTCCACCCCACTGCTCCTTCTGCTCCTCGTGTTTCCTATTATCTTTAGAAAGTTAGAGAGCAGATCCAGGATCATGTTGAATCTCACCTACATGGGAGTCTGTAATATGATGAGGT